GAGGTGAAACATTTCAGCTCTCTTACCAGATCCCAATAGTGCCATTCAAGCCAGCAGATCTGGAATACATTATAAATCCCCCCAGTCACTGACAGAAAGGATGAATAATTACCTGATTAAAATGTCTCAGTGACTGATTTATGCAAAAAGAAGCTGCAAGATGTTCCTCCCCTGGGACATGAGGTTTATTCAGTGCTATCAGCTGCCAGTAATACATTGTATGTATGAGAGAATATGACACTTTGCACTTGCAAGGCTGACACGCAAAGTAATTTAAATGGCTGTCCAACTGAGCTAATTTTCTGTATTTTAAAGTGAAAGCCATAACATAGTATAGTCACAAACATGTATCAAACTGCATTTATAAGCAATGGGGATGGTTCTTAAATTAAATAAGTTATCTCTTTTGAGCATGTGGTGTACCCTTTTATACAACAGAAATGTATTTACATTGCCATGCTAGCATGCATAGAAACTTTGCAAACCTCATGAGATGTAAGTCTAAACAGTGAAACATTTCAAAATAATGCATATAGGCCTACTTGTAATGCTGGCACCTTTATTTTTCCTTCTATATTTGCAATATCAGAATTGTTCATAGGCATTCAATGACATTTTAATTCATAAAAGAAGAAGAAACAGGCTTTTTAAAGTACTAGAACTGCTACTGCAGCAGCAGGATATTTTGTCTACAGTATGTCTTGTTTACTGTTGCTCTCAGTAACTTGGGACATGCATTTCGCAAAAACAACCACAAGCGAGAAAAACCTGTGAAAACACATTGATTTAAAAAATATATATGATTTACTGTTTGCTGGTAGTGACATCAAAATGTTATTTTCACTTGGACTGAGAAAATAGCGTTTTGCACAACTTCTCTACAAAAAAAATATGACTATAGCTCTAAACTATTTAATAGTAGATTTATGAGAAAACTGCTGTAACAAGTCCAAGAGATCAAAGAATTTAATCCATCTTTTAAAAATTATTTGTTTATCAAAATAGTGGCACAACTTAATGTCTTGTATACTTCAATTTTTTTTAGACACATAAGGGTTTTAGTTGGCAGAGGTGAGGGGCATGCAAGCAAATGCAACGAGGTCAAAATGAGTATCAATGACAGCTGGCATCTCTCCTACTTCCTGCCTGATGCACAGTAAAGACCAAGACCAAGATCCTTTACCCTTTTAGCAAATATCCAAATAACCAGAACATTGCTAATGAAGACATTAAAGTGGAACAAAAGGTAATCACAGCTTTAACATATACCAAACCAGCACACAATCAAATAGAAACAGAAAAAACAAACAAAATATTAATATGTGCCAATGCAAATGTAAAGAGGACTATTGTACTTTATTGCACTGTTGTAGGCATTAAAGACCCACCAGAGGTCAGATTTTTTTTATCCTGGGTTCCATAACTAATTCCGCCAATTCCACTAATTCCACCAATTGATATGAAGAGGGGAGCACAAGATTTCCTGAAGTCAACAACCATCTTTTTATGTCTTGTTGACCAGGTGTCAAGCATATCACATCCTCTCTGTGAGCTGTCTCATCATTTCTGTAATGAACCCCCTCACTGTGGTGTACTGTAGGTCTCAAATATGATGATGTGATTACTTTGGCACTTGGCAACAGTTGTGGACTATAGCACACCCCCGTGGGAACCTGGTGCACAGAGTGCCAGTGCATGAAATCCAGTCATGCACTTTGTGTTCTATCCAATCCATCTATCTTTCAGCCGCGGCTCGTCTGTATGGGCAGGTGGGCCAGAGCTTAACCAAAATATTCATCCAAACATATACACTGAATAAATAATAAATGTGTTCAGCATTCTGTAACAAATTGTATTTGTTTTAAGTAGTAAAGTAAGCAGGATGTATTAAAATGTAGCGCATGGATTCGGCAGGCATGTATTTATGATACGCGGGGCATCCTGTCTCGGAGTCCTCCCTATACAGCGCAGATTTCCAATGTAAATCTGTGGTGAAAAATGGAACTGCAGCGCGCTCTCACAGAGAGACATTGGGGCAGATTTCAGGCTGCCCCGCTTATTTTCAATTGACATTACCTCGCTCCAGAACAAGACGCTATCATCAGTCCGCTTCAGCTATGTGTCTGTATCAGGTCAGTAACTAGTGGCATGTCTGTCCTACAGTCTATGGTGGAGTAGCGTATCAAATTAATGAAAGTATAAAACCCTTTAGTTTAAACGTGCTCATGTGAATAATCTTTATATACAGTAGTTATGTTGTGTTACATATATATGGGCCATTCTACAGAATTGGTTCAAAGTCAGAGTTGGAAACGTCTTTTTCCACAAATTTTGTATGTATGCAAATTGTATAATATCCAAGGTACACATTTCTATTGTGCAGTTAATTATCATATCGTATTTTCAGAAAGTTTTGGAAAATTTTTTCTCTCCCCAAATTTGTCACTACCGAAACACAATAATAAATAATTTAATAAGAAGGCTTATATTGACCTATTAATATTTTGATTACATCTACCTTTTAAATATATTTTCTGCTATTTAAAAAAAAAGTTTCACAGGTAAATCAATAACAATTACAATTTTAACAATATTTCAAGTGTAATTTATAAGATGTGTTGTATTTTGAACCCAATCTTTCTTTGTAAAAGTCATTAAGTTAATCATACTGATTTCAAAGTTAAAGATTCATTAGTTTGAATATACATTGAACCAAACACTATAATAAAATCTTAGTTGATAATTCAGTATACTTTATTTTAGACAAAACATCCTTGTTTTGGTCGTGACGGCACATTTTCTGTATACAGTGACAGTAATGTTTTGGTAGTGACCACATCACATTACAGAATTTTAACTTGCATAAACACTACTAAAACATAATTATTTACATAACTGTACAAATATTTAGTTTATTTCCCCCAAATAAATTATTATGTGTTCCCTTTTGTCACTACCAAAACAATGATGGCATGTTTCGGTCATGACTGTTTCGGTAGTGACAATTTAAGATACTTTTGAGCCTAGTTCAAAGATGCTAATCAGCACATGGTTAACTAGCACAGTTCTGAACAGTTGTACACACACACAAAAACTAAATTTTATCGAATAACACAAAAAAAAACATGATGTCACAACCGAAACTTTACCACATGTTTCGGTAGTGACTGTTTCGGTATTGACAATTTAAGATACTTTTGAGCCTAGTTCAAAGATGATAGCCAACACATACCTAGCACAGTTCTGAACAGTTGGGCACACATAAAAACAACATTTTATGGAATTACACCCAAAAAAGTTTGCTTAGCTGCAGAAAAAAAGGTGTTTGGTTGTGAGGTCCCTTAAAGTTACACACAGATTTTCAGACTTTTGAACATTTCCCTCAAAATGATGGTACCTATCTATAATGAAAGAGAGGCTATGAGAGAATATTTATACACACGAGAATATTTCCTGATCAAAAAGGTAGGGGTATGGTTAAAATCAGTCTCAGCCAATGGACTAAAACTCACAATGTTTTGGTAGTGACATGCGGGACACATTTTTTTACATAAAGTTTCATGATTTAAATAAAATATAAAATAAATGTTGTTTTTTTTACTTTACTTTTTAAAAAAAATCAAAAAGATATTTTTAAAAACAACAATGGAATTAAAAAAATAATAATATTTCAATATCATTTTCACAAGTTGAAATTTAGGGGTTAGGCCTATTCGGTAAATCTACCTCCCAATTGAAAGTACCCAATAAATGATGATTTTATATATATTAAGCTTACTTAGGCTATATTTGAAATATTATTGTGGGATTCAATAGATAATAGAAGGATCTTAGTAAACATCTAAAATTATGTTTACCCAATATGCTAGAGAAAGTTTTAACCTCCTAAGATTTAAAGGCATCTCCCCTACTTCTACTTGCAGCGCTGGGATATGTGATGTTTGGAAGGCTCCACTACACAGCCGGAGAGCTTTGGCCTGCACCCTGTCCAATTCAGCTAATGTAGTTTTTGCTGCTGTTTTGTATACTGAACATCCATAGTCAAACACTGATTATTGCAATATAAATTCTTTTCAAAGAAGAGCCTCACACCCCCCAGCTATACCATGAGAGACACTTCAAAAGATTGATTGCTTTCTTAAGTAAGTTTACTATCAAACCACACACACCAAGATATCTTAAGTCATTGACCTGTTTGAGAGATTGTCCATATATCTTAAGATCTGTTGTGGGTTTTACCCTTTTCTTAGAAAAACAGATGAATTGCGTTTTTTCCACTGAAAGGTGGAACCCCCATTCTACTGACCATTTTCCAACCTGACTAATTGCTGTTTGCATCCTTTGCTGTAAATTGTCAATATTACGTCCCCACAATGCTCCATCATCTGCATATAATGCCCTGTTTATCCTTTGGTTCACTCCATTAAACACATCATTAATCATTATATTAAACAAAATTGGACTGCATACACTAACTTGTGGGGTGCCATTTTCTATTGTGTATGTGCTTGATGACTCTGACCCTATCCTGACCTCTATGGTTCTACCCTTTAAAAAATCTTTGATCCAGTTGAACATTTTACCACCTATTTCCATTTTATTCAACTTCATTAAAAGTCCTTCTTTCCACAGCATGTCATAAGCCTTCTCTATATCAAAAAAGGTTGCCAAAACAGATTCTTTGTTAACTTGTGCTTTACGTATCTCATTCTCTAGGCAGAGACTACAGGGTCCATAGTTGTTCTTCCATTACAGAAACCACTCTGGTATGGTGTGATCAGCCCTCTGCTTTCTAATTTGTACCCTAACCTTTTAGTAATCATCCTCTCCATTAGTTTACATATGCTAGACGTTAAAGCTATTGGTCTGTAGCTTTTGACATTCGTTTTATCCTTTCCTGGTTTCACACAGCGAACTAATACGATATCGCGGTATTCTACGGGATTTCACAATTCCAACGGAACCATCGAACCATTGACGTCACTTCCGTTGTTGTATTGCGTCAGTTACGAAACGTTGCCATTTCCGCCTGGCAGACGAAAGGTCTACGTTTTACCATACCGATTTACTCCATCAAAATGTCTCTGGGCGTGTTATCTCCTCATTTGAACACTCCACCAAATAACCAAGGCATACTTATCGGCGATAAAGTGTATTCGGAGGTGTTTCTGGCCATCGATAGCTCGATAATACCCGATGAAAGATTCTCCACGACTCCGTCCATGCTCGATGGCCTCGACCATGAGACTGAAACAGATCTGCGGATTCTGGGCTGCGAACTCATCCAGTCTGCCGGGATTCTTCTGCGTCTGCCACAGGTCACTGTCTAACTATGTTTATATATATGAATTAATTTCTTTAGTTCGAATTCTAATTACCCAAATGTGTAAGACGATGCACTTAGCACAGCTAGCTAACTTAGCCGTAACCGGCACATTGAAACCGGCGGCCTTTTGTCTGGCGGCGAGATGATTAACGTTAGATAATGCCAGCCAGGCCGTGCAATGTATTTTGTGATGTCGTTTAAAACAGATTATTTGTTGTTATACAACAAGTTTTGCTTTACTGTAGGTAAAGTGGATTACAAGTCGTTAATGTATTATTTGGTATTTTGATTAGGTGGCGATGGCGACAGGACAAGTCCTTTTTCAACGATTCTTTTACTCGAAGTCCTACATCAAACACAGCTTTGAGGTAAGTCAGAAATACAAAAAATGTGTAAGCCGATTCGAAGCAAGTCGTGAAAATAACTAGTGTGGTTTCACTTTAAAACAGATTGTTGCCATGGCCTGTGTGAATTTGGCGTCAAAGATTGAGGAATCGCCGAGACGAGTGAGGGATGTGATCAACGTTTTCCATCACTTGAAACAAGGAAAGGGCAAAAGGTAAGTCGATCCTGTTTTTTTATTCTTGGTTAAGCTGTTAAGTATTTAGCGAATTGTTTATGATAGTTTTTTTTAATAGATGTGTAGCCGTTTTATTTACCATTAAATCCGAAAATGTTTATTAGATACAAGCTGTCATTTCATATCCCTCAAATACTTGTGTGTTGTATTAATAATTGGATTGGACATTAAATTACGATCTGTTTGTTTGAAACCATTTTGAGGATATTTAATTTTTGCTGCTTGAATTAGAGACATTTTGCGTCATAAACAAGTATAATCTTCAAAGAGAGTATGATATAAAGCAGAGAATGTGGGTGCCATGAAATGTTTTTTTTTTTTTTAAATGTCTAACATTAATCTACATGAGCCCGTTTACTTTGTGTTCTACCAGAAGCAGCCCTCTTGTCCTTGATCAAAATTACATTAACACCAAGAACCAAGTGATTAAATCAGAACGCCGTATCCTTAAAGAGTTGGGCTTCTGTGTTCACGTCAAACATCCACACAAGGTGAGTTTCTTTCTAAAATTCCAGTTTTGTTGCTATCAATTCTCTTATATGAAAATCCTGATAGTGTCCATAATTCAAATAATTAATTTAAAATTTTCGACTATTGCAGATCATTGTCATGTACCTACAAGTGCTTGAATGTGAGAAGAATCAGATGCTGGTTCAAACAGCATGGTAAGTGTGCTTTTGTCCTTGAAGCTCATGAAAATGCACTTCAAATTATGACTTGAAAATTTTTCCCCTTATAGAGGAGACATTGGATCAGGTTTATGGTTGGACTCGTGCTGTGTTTCCACTAGTAGCTGTCATTATTTGCTGTTAAGAGCTTGAACTTGTGAAAGAGCTTGCTACTTAGGCATCAACAGGACTTAGTGGAAACACTGCATTATAAAGTATGAATTGCATTGTAGCTTGGTATACCTAAAGGTAAGATAGGCTCACATTATTCTGGCATCCCCCCTTTGTTTTTGTAATAAAAATGCAGGATTAATCAGTAGGTCATGCATTATTGACTTGTTGCACATCATTGAGGTTATGGCTTATGGAGAGCTCTGTTTAACTTTGTCCTTTCTCTACTCTTTGATTAAAGGGTAGCCCATGGTGGTAAGTGTCACAGAAAACACCCGAACTCCTCAGGCACAAGACCCAGGAACCCCTCCCACCTTATTGGCTGGCCTTTTCGAGGCTGCCAGCCAATCCAGTGAGAGCTCTCAGCGGAGGTTGGCTTTGCTGGGGGGTCCAGGATTTGCTTTTTTCTTTTTCTTCTAAAAAGTGCTAGTAGTTAGTTGTGCACTTTTGGATCTATAAATACAAATGATTTTTTTTAGCAGTGAAAACAGTGTTACTTTTTTTTCCTCATATGAATCATGTTCATGTGAATTTTGTCACAGTAAGTTGTCCCCTGATATCCTCCGTGAAGTGATCCTTGCCTCTCCTCACACCTTTTTTGATATGGGGTTTGAAAAGTTTCGATTTCGCCAAACATGCACGTTTGTTTGAGCATGTTGCTTTAGTTTTGTGATTTGAGATGTTTTATTGCTCAAATTTAAGATTACACTATTGCCTCCATGGCTACATTTAAAAAAAAAAAGTGAGGGAAAGGACATAAAGTTAAGAGTCTCCAGAATAAGCCATAGAGAGAGAGAGAGAGAGAGTATGGCAGGTCTTGCATAGGTGTTTCTTCATGTTTTGCAGGAACTATATGAATGATGCCCTCAGAACCAATGCGTTTGTGCGGTTTGAACCTGAGACCATTGCGTGTGCCTGTATTTACCTCGCTGCTCGAGTGTTACAGGTATGTCCTTGACTTTATTCATCTTCATTCTTTCTATTTCTTTATTAAAAGTTTTTTGTATTTCCACAGATTCCCCTTCCTTCCAAACCACACTGGTATCTTCTTTTCGGTGCTACTAAGGAGAACATCAAAGAAATATGTATTAGCACGATGAAGCTTTATTCTAGGGAAAAGGTAACTTAAGTTTAATCAACTTACAGATTTGTATTATATTGACTATCTTGATTTTTCTTAGATGCTGTTGTTAATACTCAATCCATCTTTCAGCCTATCAGTGAACAGCTTGAAAAACAGGTGGAAAAGAGGAAGGTGGCCCTGGAGGAGGCAAGACTAAAAGCCAAAGGACAGAATCCCAATGTCACACCAGCTCTCGCTGCCATTGGTGGATTTTCCCCAGCATCAAAACCCTGTAAGTTTGTGTTTCTGTTTGCAGGGTTCGTACAAGGTGCTTAAAGTGCTTGAAGTACTTGAATTTGACTTTTTGAAATTTAAGTCCTGGAAAACCCTTGAAAACAGTCATATTTTTGAAGAGGTACTTGAAAAGTGCTTGTATTATACCGAGCTCATTTAGTTCGTAAAAATGCTCCGATACCAATTACCGATAGGCCTACCAGCCAGCGTGTGTATAGTAACGCATAGCTGTGGTGCGCGAGCTGATCATCAGAGAAAACCGCGCGCGCAGTGGATTGAGCGCGCAGCAGCAGACACGTGAGCTGGTCGAGCACATCTCTTTAAACAGACATCAGTGGAAGGTTTGTAGTTTAGTCGGATGTCAATGGCAAATAAAATAAAACAAGCATGTAGTAGCTTATTATTAACGTTAACTGACGAGAGACAGCGCAGTTCTGTTGAATGCTCTTGATTGCTAAATCGTTCACTCAGCACGTGTTATTTGGATGACAACTAAATCAAGTAAAGTAAAACATGACCTGTTACCTGATTTATGTATAACGAGTGATTCCCTACATTATTACTGGACGTTTGCAGTCAATAAGTTTCATGAACGCAAACATCCAAAGCGCGCACTCAGAAACCAGCGTTTCAGCGCGCGGATACTGAATTGAATTGTCTTTCACGTCTTGTGCTTGTGCAGAGGAATTCACACAAAATGATGTAAAAATGCCCATATTTGCGAGTATCCTAGTAAACAAAGTCAGGTATATCAAATGAACGTAGCCATGGGGTCCGTGCGTTCGGTCTTAAAGGGGCAGCACTTCAATAAACCCACTGCTGTTTTAATGTTAATCAAACAATGAATGGACAAATTACTCACTGCTCTTGACTAAATAGTCTACCCTTTTCAACTTTCAAAAGATCCATCTATATTTAATTTATCCAGTAATTTGTAGCCTTTCTTTGTTCTGTTGTATTTATTTGTAAGTTGATTATTCGTTCTTATTTTGTTGAACCATCCTTTCAATGGTTAAGGCGATTTCCCATGCCTGACAGCGCTGGTCAATGGATTCACCTCTCTGAATTGAAACATCAATAAGTACAAATAATAATCAAGATATTGTTTGATAAGTGCCGATTGAAGTCCTTGAAATCCAAAAAAGTAGTGCTTGGAAAGTCCTGGAATTTCATTTGACAGAGTCTGTACGAACCCTGTGTTTGCCTTTTATTATGCCGGGTACAAGCTGCACAATTTTCAAAGTCGTCGGATCGCTGTTCTTCTCACACTATACAACTGTCTGCGGTACCATTTAGTTGCTGTTGTGTGCACATTACACAACAGATAGGCGACAGGGGGTCATACATTACACAGCATTTCAATAGGAAGAATCGCTGACAACTGTCTGGTCTACAAAATACGTTTCACAACCAAACGCGCAAGAAGTGATAGAGGAAATAACGTAAGATCATGCGTGAGACAGGAGTTCTTGCGTGAGGCTGATTTCTTGTTCAAATTATGCACGCAAGAAGCTTGTGATTCATGTTGTCTGCGTTGATTCATGGATCGGTAACTTCGCTTTTAATTGATTACATACAGTTTTAAGTACTTCAGTATCTCAGAAAAAAGTCTATCTTTTAATAATTAAGCTATTAAAGACAAGTGAACAGTCAGTAATAAAATAAGAACAAATAAACAAATTGCAAGCATAGATAAATACTATATAACAAAGTTGTAAAGGAAGGTCTAACAGGTACTCAGTAGTACTCAGGTATAGAAATGTAATCACTAAATATCTAAAATAACACTATCGTGTTCTCTGTATAAATTAAATATAGATTCATCTTTGTTAAAGATGTTTTGTTTGGTTAACATTAATGACTAGGGCTGTGCGGTTTTTCCAACGATGATGAAAACAAGATAATCAAGGTATTGCCTAAATGTCAGAATTAGTACAATAACTACATCATGAAAAATACTAATACTGAACATGTTATTGCATTATCGTGAGTCATATTTTTCCCTTACGAATATTAACCATGGTTTTATTATAGTAAAAGTAGTGACCACGTTTTTTTGGTGGATTGATTACCATTTGTATAACCAGAGTTTTACTTCAAATTCCATGGTTAAACTATGGATAGTATAGCAAAACCGTGGTTAATTTGTGGTTACCATGGTTTAACTATAGTAACCATAAGCCATTTTTGTAAGGGTTGTGTTATTGTCTGCCCTAGCCCGCTCTAAACCTATTATAAAATGATGTGAATATTTTCTGCTAAATTACTACTGTAACTTTACAATAGATAATGATGTCCTTTGTACAGTATTTTACTGCTAACAGTTGCTAGCAGTTTAATGCTTAACCAAGTAAACAAAAACAAAACTAGCCTATTTTACAATTACAGATGAAACTGACCTGCACTTGAAGTCCTGAACAGGTCAGTAGTTTTGCCTCTCTGCTCCACCTAGGCGCTTCCACTCCATTCTCAAGTCTCTCGCATTGATTACTCTAATCGAAACCGTTTGGCAGAGGCGAATCGCATTGCCAGTCCAGACTAAGTAAAATGTCCATCGAATGCGCTCGTCGGAACTAGTAGGTCATCCGGGGACTTTAAGCCTACTGTTTTCAAATACTATGAATCTGGACATACTACTATGTTGGCATACTGGTTTTCGCATGCTATATAGTAGGGTAGTATTCGATTTTGGATGCAGCGATGGGCATCTGTGCTTCTCACTGATCACCTCTTTGATAATACACAATACGGGATCGTCACTCACGTGAACAACACCAATTTGCCTCTGATTTTTACAAAACTGTCAGTGAGTAAAAATCAGGGCTTAAATCGTGCAGTGTACCCAGCATTACTGATTTAAGCTTTCTGCAAGTACTTGTTAATTCACAGGCATCTAAAAATGTTTTCTTTTCCAGCTTCTCCGAGAGAAGTGAAGGTGGAAGAAAAATCGCCAAACTCTAAACTAGTACAGGGGTCTGAGAACAGACAATTGTTTGCCAAAAGCCCATTGAATGGGTAAGTGTTTTAATATAAACCACCCATATCAAGTACAGCTAAAATTATATTTATTTATTTTTAACACTGCATTTGGCCTGGGTGGTATGTCTGTATGAATTATACTAGCATATCTGTGACGGTTAAACAAAATCATTAAGTATTCCTGTTCTTTAACTGAAGTGTTATGTCATTTCATGTAAAGCTGTTTCTATACTGATGCCAAATTTAATCTTTAATAAATAATTTTACCTTCTGGGAGTCAATCATGGAAAATAATAAATATAAATAATAATAATAAATAATAAAATAATAAATTGAGGTCCCTTTTTTGGTTGTTTATTGCTGCGATTTTTCAACAAAAGCAAATATTTTGCACTTAAGCAAAAAAGTTTTTTTTAACTCTCTTTTTTATGTAATTTTATGTGCTTTTTCAGTTTTTTAAAAATATTTATTTTTAAATAGTTGTATTTAGTGTTCTATTTGAATTTTGAGTAATTTTTGTATTTAAACTTATTTTACTTCAGATAGTTGCCCTGTCAACATTTCTAATTTTCATTTAAGTTTGTTTTTCATCCATTTCATTTAATCCTATTTAACACACAATTTCTAATAGTTTTAGGTAGCAAAAACAACACTGTTCTGCCCCTGTTTTGCTGTACTGTACTATATTGTTTACCATTTTTTGTTTTATTTCTTTATGTAGCAGCATGAAAAAGGAGAGAAAAGTGTATCAGAATGGCAAGAACCATAGCCGGTCTCGCTCAAGATCACGGTCTCAGTCTCGTTCTCCACACCGACAGTAAGTTACAACATGCAGTTTCACTTCATTAAGGGATATTTTACACCTGTACACAGGATGATTTTTTTTTTAAAACCAACTTTCATTTTCTGCTGCCGACATGTTTTTTTTATCCTTAGTCGGAGGAGCCACTCAGGAACGTACAGCTCTCACAGCAGCCACAGCCCATCTCCACGGCAACACAAAGGTCGCAGAGTTTCGCCAGTTACGCAACTCAGGACGGAGCGAGAAAGAAAGAGCGAGTCTAGACGGCATGGCAACAAAAGGAGGAGATCACGGAGCAGAACTCGCAGCACTTCTCGCGAAAGAGGCCGTGACCGCGACTATGTGAAACACAAGCATGATCGCGCCACCAGTCACCACTGGGACCATCGCGAACGTGAACGGGACCGCTCGCATGATCACGGAAGAAGCAAACACCAGAGCAGGTCACATTCTGGACACAGCAGACACAGTAAATGAGACACCCGGCACTGCTGAATGAAACAGAGAACTGTGATGGCACTGGACAACAGGACTATTAGATTGGAAAAATGCTTGCTTCAACACACTTTTCCAAGAGTTAAGCTTAAGAAGTGGATGTTTTCTCGATGTTTTTGTTCTTGCATCTCTGACAGACTCGTAGAGTTGATTTAAGCAAGGTAGTGGTGCCTTTTTATGTATTGTGTTTTACCGTAAACTTGAAAGTGAACAACAGACTGCTAAAAATCTGCCTAAATCAGGGATCACATTTGCACAGGAAGGAGCAGTCCTGAGTCCTGTGTATGTTAAATATTTTTCAAATGCACAACTGTGTTTGTGCACTGTACATATAAAGCTTATTTTTATGATGTCATGAAGACTTTGTATTCATCTCTTCACAAAATAAAAATGTTATAAAAATAATTTTAGTTTGTTGTTTGTAATGAATTACTTCAAACTAATGAAATGGAATTGAATCTAACACTTATTGGATCTTTTTACAAAAGTATTGGTAAAATAAAACCTGTTAACCAGTGTAACATCTCTTATCTAGACCATGTAGCAGAATCAATGGTAACTACATTAAAGTTAAAATCATTAATCCATTTGGTATGATAATGTGAACTATTTAGGTTAATTTATGAATATATTGTTGTTAAATTGTATTCATTTGTAATAGCTTTAACTCTCATCAAAGTCGTGATGTAACGCAAGTACTGACAGATTCGTTCTTCCATATTGTGTCGTACATCTGAGTGAAATAGATGATCATAAAAAGAAAAAATGTTGCGTGGACACTCGGTTCTATCAATCGGTTGGTAATTGAATGGAATTATATCTGAATGTGAGCTTGCAGTCGATTGTAAGGGGCAAGGTTTAGGCAGACTAAATGAAGTCTGGCAAATGTCATTAAGAAGAAATCTGTCGATCTCACCAGAAGATGTATTTTATAAAAAAAATCATGGTCAATAATGATAAAAAAAAAAAAATCAGCATGCATGTATCGTTAACAAGATCAATAACATTTAGACATGTACATGTTTTTATTGTTTAAAAATGTTAGTATGTTGAAATTAACATTACCCTAGATTAAAAAAATTGCATTTTGTGTTCATTATACGTAATGGGACAATGTTAATGAATTGAACGTTATTAACTGCAACCGAATAAATATCTATAAAATGTCTATGTATAAAATCTGTACTGTAAATGTGTAACTTTTAAAAGTGCAAGTGTTTCTTTGCATTGACAAAATGTGTAAAAACTGCTGTCAAATGTCAAAAGAGGACACTTTTAGTATCGGTGTAATAGAGCCCACTGAGTTATATGGTTCCTGAAAATGTTTGTTGAGTCATATGAGTGTAAATCATCTAGTATGATTGTAGTCTCTGAAGCGGTTGCATCTGTCATCCCGTGGCTGTTCCAGGCGTTATCCTGCGTATATGTGTGTAGGACTTCCTGAGAGTCACACTACCATGGTGAGATACTCCACGTGGAAGCACGCACTCCTCAGTCAACTTGTTTGCCTCCGGGTTCCAGCAAAGAACGGTAGCAATCACCTCGTTCTTGTCGTCTCGGCCACCAGTGATGAAGAGCTTGTTATTGCAGGCAGCAATGCCACAGCTGGCCCTCTCACAGCCCAGCTGGATTATCAGCGTCCAGGAGTCTTCAAGAGGACTGTAGGAGTACAAGGCCTTCATCGCTCCACCTTTATTTTAAAGCAAGTAACAGTTCAATCATCAGAGCATTGCAGTAATCTCAGCTGAGTAGTTTTTTGGTATTTTTCAAGCTCTAACATCAAGACCAAAAAATGTAAAAGGTACAAACCAACAACAAATATGGCGTCCTTAAAGGTCACTGCATTTGTGCATTTGGCCTCAGTTGGCATTGGGCATTTTAAGCTCCATTTATTTGATCGGGAATCAAAGCTTTGCATGTTGTTTGTGGCTAGTTTGCCATTGGGGCCTCCACCTATCACAAAGATGCATTTGTCATAGCTGGCAGCAGAGAAGGAGCTTACACTCAGCATGAGAGGCGCTGCCTGGAAAGAGAATAAAACCTCATAAAAATAAAACCTCAACTCGTGATTTGTAATGAAAATGTCTGTATATATAGCCTGGTTAAAACCAGACCATTCTCAGTTGTAACTGAGTTATGGTCTGGCAAAGCGTCATAGACAAATATTTCCAGAGGGGCGTCACCAACGGACGTCGTGGATAGACCTAAAACCAGAGCCATGGAGAGCTAAAACCAATCCTAGCGATTAAGGAGATGACGTATGCAGAGCGGCGGAAACATCTCCGAGTGTTGTTCTTTGCTCGGTTTGTAACAAAAAGGAAACGTTCAAATCGCTTAAAACAGACGCGATAGCTGATTCGAACGAGTGATGTTCGACGGCGGCATTCATCTTTGTAATGTAGGCTAAAATCTGCTTCAAAATCCCAGCGCTGTCGTCATCGTGTAAAGCCCGCCCCAACGTTTCTGATTGGTGCCGCGATTTCGACGGATTGGAAATAGGCTTGAATGAGCTCTTTGCCAGACTAACTTTCAGAGCAAATCTAAATTTGCCGGAAGTTGTCTGGGTTTTCCCAGGCTACTGTATATATGGAATAACCATCATAAATCCACTGAAAAGTTATGATTCAGACAACGATTCAATATTGAATGGCTAAGACTTTTAAATGGACTTTTATAGTGGATGTTTACATGACCTGTCCTGAGATAAATATTATTAATGCATATACACTGCCCCAAACCTTTGAATGTTAGTGCATCCCAGTTTCCACAAAAATATTAAAGCTGCAGTCCGTAGCTTTTCCTCTTTGTCGCCATCTCTCTGTTCGAAATCTGTAACTGCAGTGATTCGCGGAATTATCATCTTTACATGGGTTGTAAATCGGCATGAAACAGCGCGGATGAACACAGTGTTTTGAGGCGAGTGCTGCTGTCAGTCACCGCGCTGTGTGGATACTGTCATACAGAATCACAGATTCACTTTTTGAAAGTTTGACCAACATAAGAATTTTCATAAGAAAATGTCTTCTGAACAAGTAAGTAAAATCCATTTTTGTTCAGACCAACTAAGGGGGAAAAAGCATTCGACATGATAAGCTTCGTTAGATTTAATCAACGCGATTTACAGCAACCGTGCAAATTATAGCCTACTTTGTTCTCAAATTGTTCATGTTAACAACATCAGCATTGCGTGACTAATGTTAAATTTAATGTGTTTTATGGTTACCTGTGTAGTTCAGAATTCATATTCTCCATAATAGCAAAACGAGAAAGGCACAACAAAGGAAACTCCATAACTGTGTGAATTAAGAAAACGTACTGTTACACGATTGAACTATTGAAATGTCTTACTTGTTCAGCAGAAAAAGGCCGTCTCTTCTTCCGTTTTGAACCCCTTCAAAACACGGAGTTCACGCACTTTTCAAAAGCCCCGCCGATGTTTAAATCCTTGTGTTCGCATGAGACGGTTTCTTTTTCTTTCTCTAGCCACCTTAAATCCGAAGTACGAAGTCTTTTGGGTTTTATAACTGCTGAATCTCCAGTTGACACTGATGATTGTTGTTTGGATCTTTCTGGATGCCATAAGTTTAATCATGCAAAGTGCTGCGAGAAAAGCCTATACATCTAAACATCTCGTCACGCGCAGTATAGCCGGCTAGCCGAAACTCCTTCTTTATGTGTACGGGTGTGACGTAATGACGCAAAGACATGCTCGAATTTCCCGCGGAAACCCACCAGTACCACTGGAATTAAAATCATTATTATAAGCTAACCGTTTTGAATCTAGCTATGGCAAGCAGATAGTTTTGACCACTGGCAGAATATGTTTTTTTTTATATAACTATTTTGGATTATTTTTAACTTAAAAAAGTTACGGACAGCAGCTTTAAGCAGCAAAAACTATTTTCAACATTGATAAAAATATAAAATGTTTCTTGAGCACCAAATCATATTAGAATGATTTCTGATAGATCATTCCACACTGAAGACTGATTAATAGTCATCAATTGAATGCACCCTTGCTTTAAATATTGAAAATGATCATTCCACACTATATGATCATATATCATATTTATATATTGTGGTAATGACTAAAAAACACTCTTTCGGTGAGATTCATTAAAAATGAAAAGGTATGTTTTACTACTGGGACTGCAAAAGGCCTGTAGTTACAGAATTGCCCATACCAAATATTTACCGAATATTTGTCTTCAGAACTCACCTCTGTCCAGCAGTTATGAAATGGATCATAGGCTTCAACACTGTTCAATCTCTGAGTTCCATCAAAGCCACCCAAAACATACACCTTTCCTCCAACAACAGCCATTTTGTGTCTCCAGCGTCCTGTGCCGAGGTACTCTATCTGGATCCATTTGTTTAGTGATGCATTATACTTCCACACATCATGCAATGTTTCCTTGCCACCTGTTTTAAATTGAAAATAATTTTTTTGTTTTTACAATTTTTGTTTTTACAAATTTCTTGCACATCAGCGTCCATGCAAATAAGCAAACTACATAGTTACTGTCACTTCTCAGTGAGACAGTGGGATGTACCGATTCTCACCCGATATGTAGACTTCGTTTCTGAAAGTGACACACGCAAACTCCACCCACTTCTTATTTTCATTCTCAGATTCCATCTCCGTGTTTGGAAGTTTTGCGACCTCTAAGCGGCTCCTGCGTAGTGGGTCAAGACAGGTCACTTCAGATACAAACTTCTCTTCCTTTGTGCATCCTCCAATGATCATAAACACCTCCGACTGGAACTCCCGCACTCTTGGTTTGGTGCGCTCTGAGATCACCTATAAACCAAGAGGATTTAAGTTCTCAGTTGATGCAAAATATTTTAGAGGGTATGAAAGGTTTTATTTTGGTGACTGGTAGGCCTGAAATGTAGGTTTTCATGTCTTGGGAAGATTTTTTTTTTAAAGATTTTCCGATTAATTCTTTCCTATGTAAGCAAAGTGGACATTATGAAGTAAATATGCCCAAATTGATTGCTAAGTCAGAATCGAATCTTGGGAATCAAATCAAATACTCCTCCTAAGGACGAAAACCACTTATGAAATACACTTCCTCCAAAAAGGCTTGCAATGCCTTTATGACGCACTGTTATAATTCCCAAGCTTGTATTTCACTTCCTATTTGACTGAACTGTCTTGTGATCACTTCAGCATGACATTAATCATTGAGAAGAAAGGTCACCTTGGTCAAACTAACCTCTTTCCCTGAGAGGTGATAAACCCGGGCCTCCTGCAGCAGTGGGAACACCTCGGCACACTGGCGGATCAGCGGGTCTCCTTCCACCTTTTCTACAAAGTACCATGGGTCCAACAATGGCAGTCGCACATGTGTGAGGACAAGGGGCAGAAGAGCCAGTCTTTCATCCTCACGGGCCCTGACC